ACACGGGGTCAACTCCAATCAACCTCTCCACTCATACCCTTCGCTTTAGCCAGACAAGCCCCAACCGCCAGCCAACCAACCATAATTAAGTACACAGTACTTCTGTTAAATGGCCATTCAATAAAAAGTTGGGTGAAACCTTAACAAAACGGATAAAATCACCAGGGCTAAAGCCTCTTTGGGCTGAGTATTGAGGGTGAATTGGGGTTGAGTCGTAGACCGACGAATTGGCAACCGACCTGTTATCAGTGATAACAGAGGAATAATCTCTCTGAAGGAATAGCCTGATCAGATCAGGCCCTCAAGTGAAAGCACAACAATGTGCATCACAGTACAGGCCAACGAAGAGTACTGCTTACGTTTGTGCCAAGGGGAGATCATTCCCCTTAGTCGTACTCTAGCTCCTCTACCAGTACCAATTAGTTGAACATCTCCTCTAATCAGTTCGGATCTGCTAAGTAACTCCTAACTGAAGTAACTCCTAACTGAAAAATATTCTAACTCCCAAAATTTCACGAAATTTCGGCAGCGCTTCCCATAGGAAAAGTGTCGTTTCATAATTTCTAAGAGCCCAAAAATGACTAACTTTTTCAGATTTGTAAAAATTTCGACAGCGCTTCCCGTAGGAACAGGAGGCTGCCAAGATTTATACAAAGCTGAAAAAGCAGAAAGCCAATGAAACTATACTTGGGACTAACTTCTGACACCTGCTTGATGATCAACTCAATGACAGCCAACACGACCTCTAGATGAGACCATGGGCTAGCATTGTGCCTAACCCCTAGCAGGGTCAGTCCTATCCTGATCCCAAGTTTTCCGTCCCAACATCCTCCAGACCTACCTATGGCTTCAGCACTTGGCGAGCATCTAAAGCAACTAACCTATCGAAAAGACGCCCCAAGTGAAACCCTACAATCATACATRAGCATGCATCTCTCACAGTCCCACATACATTTGCCCTGGTAGTTCGTTAAATCACTCAGTTGTCTCCCTTTCAATAACCCCCTCACTTATAACATAGGATCAGACAAGACCCTAACTTAAGGGTATGTCCAACCTGCCTAAGTAAACAAGTAAAGGTACGCACAACTGGACTGCCCTAACTTAAGGGTATGCCCAACTCCAGATAAACTCTAGTCATAAAGCATATAACCAGACCGCCCTAACTTAAGGGTACGCCTGACTTCTGCTTGAATCGACGACATGAAGCGTAGAGCTAGACTGCCCTAACTTAAGGGTATGCCTAGCCAACTTTACAAAACGTTACATACGACATAGGATTAGACTGCCCCAACTTAGGGGTGTGCCTAACCAGCCTAGAACAAGCACGAACGACGAATGGTCAGACCGCCCTAACTTAAGGGTACGTCCAACCTACAGAACAAGCGCAAACGACGAATGGTCAGACCGCCCTAACTTAAGGGT